AGACCAGCTAAATACAGACCAACTAAACACAGAGGCCAACTAAACACAGACCAACTAAACACAAAGACCAGCTAAACACAGACCAACCAAACACACAGAGACCAACTAAACACAGAGACCAACTGAACAGACCAACTAAACACAAAGACCAGCTAAACACAGACCAACCAAACACACAGAGACCAACTAAACACAGAGACCAACTGAACACAGACCAACTAAACACCAAACAACTTAACATAAAGACCAACTAAACATCGAGACTAACTAAACAGAGACCAACCAAACACTGACCAACTAAACAAAGAGACAAGCTAAACATAGAGACCAGCTAAAGACAGAGACCAACTAAACACAGACCAGCTAAATACAGAGACCAACTAAACACAGACCAACTGAATACAGAGACCAACTAAACATAGCTACCTGGCCTAGCAGAACCATAAAGAGAAATAAAAAATGGACAATGAGGTTTAAAGATTAAGTCAAGATTGACTTCAAGAGGAGGTTCTAAACATTTAAGGTAGATTTAGGGGAATTATACAGATGGACAAAGAGATGCAAGACAAGCATGGAGGCAAAACAGGCCCTGTCCATGGTTCTTAAAGAGCAGAAAATACAGCACTGAAAGGGAGTTGATGAACCTGGAAAGAGACCAACACAAACCAAACCCGACCTAACTACCTTCCCAGAACCAAGTCAAGACCAAGACTTTTAGGGACCAAGTGGAGACCAACATGGAGGGTGTATAATCCCAGCGTATCATTACAGTCAGCTGTAGATCACCTTACAGACATGAATCAATCTGACCGGATGATCTGATGAACTGTAAAGTGCCTTAGGATGATATGTGTTGTAAATTGGCGCTATAGAAATAAACTGAATTGAATTGACTGAGAATGACTTTTATTTGTAAGGCGGAGAGAACAGATGAAGTGTTTAGCACATGGCTTTAAAGGAAAAATAATAGTTTACGTTTTAGGCCATTATTATAAAGTAAAAAACAATATTTTGAACATCAGTATCATTTATTTGATGCCTACATCTCAAGGCACATTGATTTTTTTAATTCCCAGTTTCTAATATTTTGTCTTTCCATACAGGCTGTGATCCAACTGCTTTCTAGAGACTTCTGATTGTGTGATATGTTTAGATTAACAGATAAACTGAAGGACATTTCCACACCTTGGGCTTAACTGGTCTTGAAATAAAATTTTAACATCGAGGAAAGACTGCCTGAGTCACCAAGACCATCAAAAAGAGGTCTGGAGACCAAGACTGGTCCAGACCAGTCTGCATTACCTGAGGGCTCCTTTAAGGTCCCTCAGTTTTTCCAGTACTCTGCATGCTACCTGTGGTAAACTAATATAGAACTCCTGTTCAAGATCTGCTGCTCAACCACAGGGAAGGATAATATCTTTATCTTTTATCTGGATAAAATGACATCATCCAGTTGGTTCAGTATCAGATTAGGCTAAATCTGGATTATATTACAAGAGAAGAACAGAAGCTCAGGTCAGCATAGAGCTAAATCAGTGAGGGGCCCTTAAGAAGCCTTCAGTTTGCCACCCCCCCCAGACACAGATCTAATGCCAACAGGTAGTGACATCATAGCTGCAGGGAACTCATCTCATTGAAAAGATGCTGCAGCTAAACGTTCTTTATTTTTTTTACCTGTATAATTTTTTGTGGGAATTTTTAACGTTTGTCTCATTTATCGTCCATCCAAGCTGTCACTGATTTAGCTCCATATTTAAGGGAAAAGTCGCTCAGATTCAGAATCAAAACTTGTGAAAATTCTTTAAATCTGAAATGATTCCATCCTGTTCAATAAATGATCAGTGTTTTTAATTC